GACAGAAATAGATGACATGTTTATTTTCAAATGAGTGATGTATTAACTTTATTTCATTTTCTGATAATGTTCTTTGTTGTCAAAAAGTTTACTTCTTTCGTTAAGTGGGATCTTTAATATTCCACAAATGAAATTTTCTTTTTCAATACAAAATATCGGGAACATCCGTAAATACATCAGAATAATTTTTTATAAATTTTTGATCGATATGAGTGATGTCATGGCAAAACCCTGTAAGCAAATTTTGAAGCATCAATAAGGCGAGTTTACCCTTGGAAAATTGAGATGTCATATTAAATCATTGTATACAATCAGTGTTCTAGTTGTTCTTATTGATGCCTAAATATTTGTTTACAGGTTTTGCCTTGACATCACTCATATACAAAATACAGAAATATGGACATGTTCAAATAAAATTTTTACGTAGTGAACATAGCGATAGTCCAGACGCCACACTGACTAATATATAAGTTATTAACGGTTTTTACGGAAAAGTTTAAATTTTATATGTTAAAAAATTAGTGAGATTATAAGTAAATGTGACTATATAGAGTGTGATTATAGAGAGGTTTGACTGTATAAGCAAAATTGCCTTTCCGACATTCCACTCGAGGTCGTTTTTCTTTCTTCAAAATTCCATAAATTGGATTTGACTATCGCTTATCCAATTGACATGCACATTACAACATTAAAGGCATTTATATGTATCAATAATTTTATATAACAATTGACATTTAAGCTTTCTAATATAAGATTCATCTTTACAAACTTTCGTAAAGAATAATTGTAAATTGTTTGAATAAATCCATTAATTTATACAATTATACGGAAACTGTTTTGAAAATGTTGAATCCTGACGCCGCAGTACTGATCATGTTGGCCCTATAATTATTGTAAAAGATCATATTAATATATGATAGTCTAATTATTCTTTACTTATGTCATACCTGATGAATAAACAAGAGCTGTGATGGCACTTCAATATCACCTTTTCTTAAGATTTTATGTGAAATTTCTTCAGGATCATGTTCTACCGAAAGATCCCATATGGATATCTGGTCGTCCGATCCAGAAGCTGCTAAAACTGATTCTTCTATAGGGTTCCATTCAATCGAGGTGATCGGCGCTGAGTGCCACTTAAATGTTGCAACTGGTGTAGGTTTTGTACTCTTGCTGTTGTATTAAAAATTCAATAATGTTATTTACATTCCAAATATGTTAGATTTCGATATACGCACTTTGAGAATGTCCGTAGGTCCCATATACTAATCACACCATCATCTGATCCAGAAGCAAGTAAATAATCGACTTTCCTTTGGAATTCATGTAGGAAAACATCAGTTTGCGCAATCTTTTTTGGTAATATCCCAGTCAAACCTCTATAATCGCACTCTATATAGTCACATTTACTTATAATTTTTAAACCCAAATTATATGAAACATATAAATTTAGCCTCTATATAAGCACAATTCTTTATAAGCGCAGAATTTCTTGAAACCAAGTGTGTAATTATAGAGAGGTTTGACTGTATATATATATAAATATTTACAATTTATGCAAACCTATTCCAAGTAATCACATTCACATCCGCTTCGTGAGCTTTGACACTCAATGCTGCCTTCTTTTTACTTCTAAT